AAGATACTTCATAGCCACAGAATTCATATCTCCGTATATTTTAGGATGGTAGTTGTTCCATTTTCTTACCAGTGTGGGTTATATTCAGCAAAAACACAAGTGTGTTTTTAATAACTCATTCTTTCACAACCTAGCTTCAGGTAAACTAAGTAAATTAACCACATCTGTAAGTTCACTAGAACAGTAGCTAAAAGGCACAAGAATGGAAAGAAAATATCAGTTGGAGGAACTGTTTTCTTAAACATGCTTCAACAGAAAGTATATGTTAGAAAGGAGCTAATAAAGGTGTGTTAAAAACCCTCACAATGCCTTTAAAGAGGTGCCCAAATCCTAGATGCATCACTGAACAGAGGCTTGAAGCAATCCCCCGCAATCCCCATTCCTCAATTTCCACACCAAAACTGACCTTTCAGAGTTCAGATACTATAAGACACTGTTAGGAAAAAGAAATCCACTTATTTTACATTAAAACTTAAATGCTTAAGTGTTTTAGTTTGCTCTTCTTAAGCAGTTATTTGTCCCCATGTGCTGTCCCGTCTTGAATTTGTTCTATATAGTATTGTGAACTATTTGAGTAGTTCAGTTTGTTACGGAAAAATACAGTGCAATTGGTGTTTTTTTTTCTTAAAAAAAAAAAAAAAAAGAGTTAATATTGATGCTCTCCCTGCCTTTTTTTTCCTGCAAAGATAACATGACACACATATAGCCCAGGCTCCCAAAGTGCTTTTCACTTGGGAACAGCTCGACACCAGCACAGTGACAGAGCCAAAAGCTATGAGAAGTTATCATTACACCCTCAGAAATGGTATTGCAATTCATCTTACCCTGTGCATTCACCAGTTAGACGCATACCACAAATCAAGCACATGTTGCCACAGACAGAAATGACATGATTTAATATTTGGTGCAAAAAGGTAAAATGAATCAAACTCAGACTGATGGAAATCTGCACAATAAGCAGTGGAAAAAAAAAAAAAAAAAGTTTGTCATCAGGATGGCAATGTCACCAACACTAAGGGGCTGCCGAGCGCTGCCATCGCTTCACTGTGGGTGCAGAAGCCGTTTTTCGGGAATTGGTCCTTCTTCCAACAGGAGCCGATCACGACAAGTTACTTGACTTGAAGCTCAGCTGTGCAACCTGGGTTAGGGGATGCTCTGCAGCATCCCAGAAAACATTCCCCGCTTGGCTTTCCTGTAAGGGGAGCTTGGCAGCCCCGCAGTCCCACCTGACAAAACACGGGGTTAAGGCCAAGACGGGGCCTTTAAGTCGCCTGGAATGAGAGCTGTAGGACAGGAGCCAGGCCTAAGGAAACAGCTCTCTATATAGAAGGGCAGTTCCTCCAAGCTGACGGTGTTTGGGTGACACGACCGGCAGCCTGCAAGGCAGAGCCACACCGCAGCTCCAACCTTTTATTTTCTAATCTATATTTTCCTACTGCACCAGCTCTACTCCTCCAGGAAGCCACCGTCAGCAGCTTCCAGTTGGAGAAGTAGAACCATTCCAGGGCAAGACAGACATCAGTTTAAGCAAGAGGTGCCAAGCTGGATTTGGAGCTTTCCTGGATCCCCATTAAACTATGCCCCTACTTTGTAATTCTTTACTGAAGAACAGTAGAAAAAAAGACAGCATATATTTCCTTGGAAGTACTGTGAAGTTATGCACTGCTATGCAGTACGAATACTTTCCCGTTAGGAAGCTGTCCGAACGCTTGCAAACATTCACTCACAGGGGGTAAAGCGTCGGTGTCGTCTCGCTGGTCTCACGGAGAAACAGAGAGCTACAGGCACGCTGATGAGAATTACCATGAATGAGATTAGAGATGCTCTGGAACACCGTTGTACAGTCCATGTGGCAACACACACTCAACACCTAGCTTTTTCTTTAAAAAAATAATTAAAAAAAACCTCAGACATTTAATATTAATCACTAAGAACATGTTTTACATTAAAGCTAGGATATTTCTGTATTAAACTTGGATAGCTCGTTAAACCAACTGGGTTAAAACCCACTTAACAGGACTTGCCTATTCTTGAAAAATGACCTGGATTAAGAGAGGGTACAAATTTAAACTCCTGTATCCATTTCTGCACAGCCTCATGTTCTAATTCCTATACAAATTAATCCGTTCCGGAAGCGGATTTTGGTGGATCAAATTCTGATTTTGTTTTGGATACCAAAAGGCCAAGACTAAGACAGCAGCAGAGAGGTCACTAAGCAGGAGCTCAACATGCCTCTTTGCACTTCCTTGAGGAAGCCTCAGGCAATTAACAGGCACCTAATTAATATCTATCAATTCTAGTATGACTTTGAACACCTGCATGCTTTGTCTTCTATTTTATCAAAGCAAAACACTTTTTTTAAAAAAATAGCAAAATCTACCACACTATAATAAGGCTGAATCTTAGAAATTACACTAAATATATAGAAAAAAAAAAAAAAAAGATAAATTGGTCAATCTAACCCTGGTTTCCAGAGACCTGCATCACACTTGCGCTCAGCTGCCCTCCCCACTGCTGGTTCACATTTCCTGCCCGTCACCAGGGCGGCTCGAGAACCTTTCCTTTCTGAGAACCTTTCAGGGACAGATTTACCCACCTCTTCAATCTCTCCAAAATATTAGCGTTCAAATTTTCCCTTCTTTTTAACTACCAATCTATCTTCACCATCTAATACTCTTTATTTATATGACTGTATTTAAATCTGCTAGAATAAAAGTGCTCAGAATACAATTTCCATCTTGATTTTACAAACCGGAGGTGCAGCTAGCTGAAAATACAAGGCTCTAGATAGCAGGGTTTAGTTCCCATTGGCTTAAATCTAAATCTTGTACCATGCAAGGTCATTTCATTCCACAGGCAGAAGATTTAAGTTTCTATTATAAAATGTTTCATTTCCTCACATACTGAAAATGAAGTAGTTCACTCTGATCATATAAGGACAGTAGGCTTTTAAATCTGCTAACATATTATTTAAACCTGAAAGGCAAGAAGACACCACTTCCACAAGAATGACGGGACATCAGAGATGCTTTAGAAAATGCAGCAACTTAATAGACTATTACAAAATGGCTACAGCAGCCGCTGAAAGTCCCCAGACTACGGAGCTGAGGAGCAGGAAGAAATCCTCTCTATAGCAACGCTGTTTTGATTAGCAAAAGCCAGCTGAAAGCTTATAAAAAAAAAAAAAAAAGGTCTGAAAAATTAATTTTAGCAGAATAAAGGTGCAAAAGTAAGCACTGCTAAGTCTCTAGTTCAGAATTAAATAACCTTAATTTATATAAGAAATAAAGAATTTAAACTGAATCACGGACATTCTAATACTGAGACTTCAAAGGGGTTTAATGCAATGTAGGTAATCGTCTGTGAACCGTAATTCAGATTAGCCTCCTTAAACATGTTTTTCGTTGTCAAACATCCTATACGTGGTGTTCGTATTATCTACCATTTACTGCACCTAATTGAAGGAAGTATCTAAATATCATTTGATGAGCCTGGGTCTCCTTCTTCTCCAACTACTATTTTAAAGCATAACAGTTTCTGTGATATCCACAAAACAAACAAAAATGGAAGAAAAGGATACATCTTTTTACCCCTTTTTACCCCAACTCTTACCAAACCTTGACTCTAGGTACTTCAGCAGACAAAAAGCTGCTCTGTGCACTATGGGTTAGGTTGATGTACTCACATATTACCTAAAGGTATAAAAGGTATTTCTGCACTTGAGTAAGTTTGTGTTGCATAAATACAAACCACAGTTATCCACGTCGGTCTGTTTGTGGTTATAGACATATAACCACATATTTTCAGGGACATAAATTAAGGAGAAAAAAATAAAAATAAGGTCATGCCATGCACAGTTTGGGAATCCAACCAAGTTCTACCAGCCATTCCTTCAAAAAAGTTCTTCTCAAAGCCAAAATGAAAGTTGAGACCAATAACTACCCTGTTAACTGTAAGGCAAAAATATTTAGTTTTCCCACATAAAATGAACACATAACTGACTAGTTCACACAAACGCTTCTGAGCGATGGCTCGGGGGTACAAGCATCATTAGATGTGCAGGTAGGGACAGCTGCATCCTTCCAGGAGGGACGTGAGACCTCGAACCACCACAAACCAACGCTGGCCTGTCCTGATGCACCCAGAAGCCCAGATCTAAAAAAAAAATTAACCCAATCCTTGACAATCCTAAAATTGATTAAAAGTGTGTCGGGGGAACCCAAGTAACGGCCCACGGCGGCAGCTCCTCCCCAGGGCCGGTTCCCACGCGGGATGTGGTTATGGAGGCCCCAGCGCGGTTGTGGAGGCCCCGGCACGGCCTGTGTGGCGGCTGGCCCAGCTCGGCGGGTCATGCTCTATTAGAGCCGCGATGCCGCGCGCACCACGAGCGGCGGCTCCGCCGAGAGCCGCTAATTCAATTGTGCTCATCTTATCAGGCTTCTGCTTAATGAAACCGAACAGCAGTTCCATTTTTTCTGTTATTAGTTTTCCTGGTGGCGGGAGCGGGTGGCGGCGCCCCGGCGGCGGCGAGCCGGCGTTCATCCCACCGCATGCCACGAGCTGCCCAGGCCCCTTCCCACCCACCTTCCTCCCAGCCAGGGGATGTGGAGGTCCCCTCCCTGCCCATGGATTATCACCAACATGCATCCAGGCCCGGTGTCCCCAAAGAGATCCGAAACGAGCCGAGACTTCACAGCAACAGGGGGCTATTTTGGACTGAAATGGAGAGAGTCACTCCGTGTAGAATACTTCTTTTTTTGAGGAATGATCATCGCAATTTACTCATCCTTACAGTCCTACAGAAATACTTCGCAGCACAGACTATACAGGTTGCCATCCGAGAGAAAACATCCAAATCCTCCTGTTGTGTTTATCAACTTGAAATCCTTTCATCAATTAACCTCCAGACGTGCTCGGAAAAAAGAGAAAAAAAAAATACTGCTATTTCTCAGTTAGGATCCTGCTGCTTCAACTGATTTGTCACATTACAAAGACTTGCGCTGGGTTGGTGTTTGCAGGGAAACACTATCGAGCAGGCAGGTTTATTTGCATGATGCTTGCTGAGTTTGTTTGTTTTTTTTTTCTTTTTTCTTTTTTTTTTTAAAAAGCTCTTTCTTTAGAGAAATGCTTTATTTTGATTCGTATATGTAGTGGCACCAAGAAAGGCAGACTGTCAGCCTTTGCACATTAAAACTTACAGCCCATTTGAGAAAACCAGTCCAAAACCCACAAGCTGCCCGCCTTTGCTCCAAACACCTTGGGCTCAGCAGGCTCCCTGGGTTAAGCCAGGGAGGCCGCTCTCCTGCCAAAACCCGCATCCACACGTCCCAGCTCACATTTCCAGGCAAGGCATCCCAAGCTAGAAGGGACTCCATTTCCCAGCTCAGACCCCATCCAAAGCACCAGCCCTGTGTCAGGATATGATCAAGAATGAAACCTGGGAACAGCCTCCAGCCTCCTCCTCCACATGCCTGGCCTGCAGCTACCACTTGGTCTCCACCCTCAGCTTTGGGTCCTGAGCACTCAACCAGCTTCCCAGTCATTATGGGCCAGACAAAAGGTCTTGTTTCAGCCACTGCCAGAAGATCCGTGCTCTAAATTCCACCAAAACCCCTTAGTTCTGACAACATCTCCTCACCACCCAAAGATGGTGTTGGCAAAGCTATCATGGTTACCATTCACACTCATGGAAACAGCATTCCTACCACCTGAGTTAGAACCGGAGACTTGCTGCATTGCTAGGGACACCAGAGTTTTCCTACTACACCCCCAGCCACCAGCAATACTCTGTCAGATGCAACAGCGACGTGTGCACAGAGAAGCTTCTCCCATAGTGCATGGAAAGATTGCTTGGATCTCACCAGGAGCTCCTTGGAGCCCCAGGGCTTGCCTTCTCCAGCAAAGGGTTGAGGACTCTTCAGCTGAATTCACCAAGATGATCATCTAGAAAGCCACACTTTTCTCTTTTTTCCCCTTAAACTAACATTATTCCCCAAATAAGCAAACAAAACACTGCAGCATTCAGCAATGTCCAATATTAGAGGTACTTAAATATTTACTCCTGAAGCTAGTCTGGAGCTCTCAGTGTCCAATTAAAGAAAAATTATTTGCACTAAAGTAGCACCTGAAATCTAGTCACATGTGGGACTCGATTGTACAAACACTGCATTGAAAAAAAATAAAATCCCCCAAAGAGTCTTTGCTTTGAAAGCTTTTATACAACATATAACTGTGCAGTAGCTTCAGCTACTTGGAGCTCCACATCTAGGAGCTCCTCGTGTCCAGCTGCTCAGGGCAGTAGATGTAACCTTATCCTGAGCATCCTGCACACAAATAAAAAGCACAAGGAAAACACATCTTTCAAGAGATTTCAATACTACATCAGCATCATTTTTAACATCTTTCTCAACTCTGAGCATGCTTAATTGGTATGTTTTGTAATTATTTGCCTGTCTATTGCAATAGGGTATTTATTTGCAAAATACTCTGCCACATTGATGGTTAATCTTTTTATTTATTACTTAGACATAAGAAAAACAAGTAGGCTACACGTTCTATACAAGGACAAACACAGCACTAAAATGCAAATGTACTGCTGGCTCTACTGCCTTGAAACATGCAATCTGCAGTCTATGCTGGGTTAGAGAAAATTGAGATAACAGGTTGAAAATGCAAAAAACAGTCATAGAAAAAAAAAGAAAACTAAATATGTACACACTACTTTTTCATGACAGCGTAGATCATCTAAAAATATAAATATAAAAATGTATCCCAGCTTCTGTAGTCCTAAAGAAACAAGCTGTGACCAATAAATCAGAAAGCTGGGTATCTTCTGCTTACTATCTTAGTCTGCCAAACAATTATGCAGTGAAATGTTCTAATTGCACTTTGATTTTAATGTTAAAACCCATTTCCATAATTTCACTGGATCTTTACAACACAGTTTAATATTTGCCAATGAAGCAAATGAGCTGCAAGTAACATTCACAGATGGTTCATGTTTTCCATTAAATCTGCAAGCTAAGATTTGCTTTGTTTACAAAAAAAAAAAAAAAAAAAGGCAGCTTATCCATATCTGTAGGGGCAACCCAAAGGCTCCTCAACACACAGCGAGCGACACGAATTCCACCCATAAAATACCACTCACTTTCTTAGATAGGAAACAAAAATTCTGGTCAAATAAGGAGTTTGGTCAAGCCGATGTGCTACTTACCAAGTCAAAAGTCTGTCCCACAGTGAAAATTATGCTGTTTTCTGTGTGTTTATGCTTAGATTTAAAAGAACGATGAATTCTTGGGCTAGGCTGATTAAGGGGAGTCAAAGGTAGTTTCCAACACATGTACACTACCCTTTCCAGCTCTCCTTCCACCTGCTTGTGCTCAGGGCAGCAGTTCTTCCAGGGTTTTTTGGATCGTTTCTGTTTTTCAGATTCATTTATATTAGGATAAACACAGACTGTCAGCTCAGGAATAATGCAAAAGTGATACTTCATCGTTGAAATAAGTAATCCATTAAACAGGGTTTGCAAAGAAAAACGTCCTTCCCCTTACCCACCGAGTTCTTTTAATACACTTCTTTATTTATACAGCCAGGTTTCAGCCTCACAGTGTTTGAAGTGGCATCACTCAGACACGCTAACCAGCTCAAATTATATTGACCCCGTGCTCCCTGAGCAGCTCTTGATTGATCATGCTTTGCATTGAGAAGAAAAGGAAGAGAAAGGTCAAAACAATGATGATCTTGAAGCTGTATTTGTGTTCAAGCACCTACCCCACACATTATGGGAATACAGGCTTCTGCCCCAAGTTTCTAGCACTGTTTGTTAGAAAACAGTAAGGTGGGCAGAGGAGTAAATACAACTTTCCTAGGAGACAGAGCAAGGCTGAACACTTTCTGTTTGCTGTTAATGCCTTCCTGGCAAGAGCTCAAAGACATCCCAGTTACTAAAAATAAAAAAAAATGAGAAAGTTGGAGATTCTTGCCCGCCTGTTTGGGAAGGTAGAGCAGAATGCTGGGTCCCACACAAAGGGCCAGGCTCCCTGCTCCGATGCCTTGTACCATAGCGACACCAATTTCATTTCTACATTTAAAGAAAAGCTCACTTATGCAGCAAGTCAGCTCAACTTTGTCTCCAGTTTAGTTTCCTTATGTCTTATTCATATCCCAATAGTATATTTCTGTATTTCAGCTTAAGATACACAGACAAATGCACATGTATCTATTTTAAGATGACACCTACACACTTCTAGAATATACAAGCTCCCAACTTATGCATAGGAAAGCTAATTTTGTGCACGCAGCAGAATTAGGTAGCACACACACGGCATGCTCGGCCCATACATCCCCATCATGCCTACCAAGCAGGCAGTTGTGCTGAAAATCAGATGGTTCCTGCAAGCACTGTGCACGCCACGCACAGCTCATGAGCCCTCACGCAGCCTCTTCCTCATGTGCATCTAAGAAGCCTGCACATTGCACAGTGCTTGACATTCTCCATGCCAAAATTTTGGGCTAGGGGAGGAAGGGGGCGAAAAGGTGGACATAAATGCTCAGGCCTGGATATTCACAACCCCAGGGCGGAATAAATTCTGCACAGCTCTTGCCAGTTACATTTAATATCTGTTCAAGTGTTCTTCATCCTCACACAGTACACACAATGGAAACATAGTGTCTGGCAAGAAGCCTTGGTTGCTTGCATCACTTCAGACAACGGAAGTCACTGTGATTTAGAGATTCACCAAAAGCTTTGTCCTAAGTAAAATCTGGATGAGTAAAGACACACCACTCACCCAAGGAACCCTTTCTACTCTTAATTTCCCCTCTTTCTCCTAAGGGACAGCAGGAGCTCCCCCAGGGATCCCTCTCTCCGTCCCCCAACCTGACACTCCAGCTGTAGGAAAATTTCAGGGAGCAGGAGAACCTGCCCCCAAGGCTGGTCCTCCTTGCTGGCCTCAGACCACCCCAGAGCAGAGCCCAGTCTACTTTGCTAACACCTCCCAGCAAAAGGGGACAAAAAGAAAAAAAGGAAAAGAAAAAAAAAAAAGGCTAGTTAAGAGGCTTTTACTCCTGTTTACCTGAGTGCTTGTGCCCTATGGCATTCAGCTTCTAATTGTGCACCATGGCAGGGAGGCATCTCCACCTGGTGGGATCCCGGCTCAGAGGGCTGGTTTGGGGACTTTTCTGGCTTGCTTTGCAGGGATAGGCTGCAGCGTGATGTGCTGGTGTCTGCAAACAGCTTGCAAACCACCACCTCTTTTTGCAGGAATACATGCATGTAAAAAGACTCATGCTCCCTTTTTTCTCCACTGCTTTCAGGCCTCCACACGTTTGCCTTGGTGTTTACAAGAAACCTGAAGCCCCCCTCAGCATTTTAACAGATGATTAAAGGGCTTTAGAAACCAACAACCCTCGACTGCCACCTCCTCCAAACACCTCAGTGCTCCTGCTACCCACCTCGGCATAGGGCCCTCCTGCTCCCTCCAAGCCAGTGCAGCGGGGTCATCCCTCTCACCATCCTCATCGTCACCGCAGGCTCCTGGGCACAGGCCAGGCATTGCCGTCCCCAAGGCTTCTTCCTGCCGCCACCAATCACCAACGGCTCCCGCTGCCGACATTAGGAAAATAACAGCTGGGAAAAGTGGAAAATGCAAGAAAAAAGTCCCTAAAGTGCTTATTTTGCCATTTTTTAAAAGAATTGCAGAAGAGAAGGCTTGTATGGAGCATCGGCCTAATTCGCTGGTAAAGAGAGTGCCCAGATGTTTCAATTAATATAATTACACGTGTATCCTGAGAGCTGAACTTCACAGGTGAAGGGAATGCTTTGATTTACTGTCTCCATAAAATTATTTTTTTAAAAAAGAGCAAAGTTAGCTCATTGCATCTGAGTGACAGTCTGCCATTACAGATATTTTTGTCTATTTTAAAGTGCACTCACCTTTTGCATGAATGTATGTCGCTATTTCTACTCACATAGCCAAAGAGTACGCCCTAATGTGCATCACACTGTACCAACACAGTCCTTATACGAAACGGCTGCTCAAGCACTGGGGACTTGCCCAAAGAGCTTTTATGGTTTAAGGAACTTTTCTGTATAGCAGCTGCAGCAAATCAGCAGGTGATCTGCTTTGGATACACAATCTGCTGTTATCGCTCATGCCCATGGAAAACACCACGCCATAGAAATAAAAAGATAGGGCCCAAATATGTCACAATACCTGCTAGTGAGCCAAACAGCACAAGATTTATTTATTTTTTTCTTAATATTAAGCCTGCTTTTTTTTAAAAAAAAAATCTAAGTCTTCTGCTAGGAAGTTCCTTGGTATTTAAAATACCAAGCTTTTGACTTTAATTACTTTACAACAATATTATGTATGACTCCTGGCTTAGCTCTTCAGCTGCAGTTACTGGCTCAGAGGGTATCTAGAGCACTTTTTCTTTGCAATGCTAACCTAAGGGCTTGGAAACAGTGTGCCCTAGGTACCTCTTCTGCAAATGCTGAGATCCCAATGTCTGTTAGCAAGTTCTCACTATTTTGGGAGGCTGTGTCATGAGGTGTGCATCTGTAGGAGGGGGAGAAGACTCAAGTTGCTTCATTTATAAATCTCTTCACAGGCCCTTCTAGAAGGAAATACATGTTTGCCTTTTATCTCGGGGTAGGGAGAGGGCAGCTTTATTGACCGCCGTTAGAGATGCTTCTTCATTGTGCAGACGTGTTCAGGCAGGAGATCACCTCAAAATAGCAGCTGTGGGAGGCAGGAGCCAAGGAATTTTGTCTGAATATTCAAGCATAGAAACTATATTTATGAGGTGCCGTTTGGCCCCTAGTGACCAGATGCAGCCAGAGCGGGGTGAGGATAAAAGATCCCGCAGACTCAGTTAAAGGGAACTCCTGGAAAAGTGGTGCCCAGCTCATCTCTAGGCACTTTGTTACATATGACTTTGAGCATAGGCACTTTGTTACATATGACTTTGAGCATTGAAAGGAGCGTAGACCAACCAAGAAGAAATTATTTAATCTGAATTCGTACTAAATTAGGTATTTAAGAAGTGCAGGGAAAGCAGCATGACAGAAGACCCTGACTCAAGCCTGTGATTCCCCCATACTGCCATTTTTCCCCCTTCATAGTTAAAGTACTTAATTAATCTATACAGAGTTTTTAATACAATACAGTTGATTAACGCTAGTAATTTCAGGGCCTTTTTAATATAACAAATCTCTTCTGAGAAATATTCCTGGTTAATGATCTGTGTCATTTTTTAAAGTTTACCTTCTAAATAATTTTAGTGGAAATATCATTAAATTCTTCATTATCCTTATTTATAGCAAGGCCAGAATGGGATTTTAGATGTTATGATTTTAGCATAATAGAGACCTACAGCTCTCAAAACACGCTGTTTTCTCTGCCTTGGGACCTGTAATAGTGAGTCTTGGAGGGCAGCATAGAAGGACGGGTGGGAGGAGAGGCTTCACGCTGAGGCCAGCTCCATGTGACAGCAAAATGTCCTGTTGGGTGATCTTTAAGCAAAGTGGTTTGTTGGTGTGGTGACCTCCACGGCCACAGCAGTGAGCCATGGCCAGGCACTGGGCACACAAGGCTCCTGCCAGGCCTGGCTTTGCTTCAAACACGTAAATAAGAGGAGAGGGAGGAAGGGGGAAATGTCAGGTACTCCCAGTGCACACAGGCTGCCGGTCCCTCAGAAATAGGCAATTTTTATCTTTATAGTTGGCTTGGAAATTAGGCAAAAATAACTACATTGCAACCATATGTTTTTCTAAATACATGTTTTGACCAACTCTGCTGTAAGTAAACAAGATGTAAATATTCGTCCCTGCTGTGCTTTTTAACAAAAATGCTACTTGGGTGGTTAATTTTTTTATGTATGTGCATTATGTTTTCTGCTCCTGGCCGAACCACCCATGGGACAAACTGGCATTTACTCCCTTCAGGGTGTCTCAGGGCTAAGAGGTGTCTCCAAGAGGAGCTGGAGACCAAGGCCAGGTGACGCCAGCAGGCCTACCCCGTTGTTTCCCATGATTCAAGTGGTGAATTCAACCAGAGAGATCACCCATGGCATCACTGGGCTTCATAGGGACCCGCTGAGTATGTGTGACCTAGGCCTGTTGTCCTGCAGGGCCTCACAGCCCTCCCACCGCAGAGCATGGAGGAGTTGGAGCGGGCCGTGGATCCCCCCAACATCAAGCCGTGCACCGTCGTCAGCAGAGTGTGGTGCAGGGTTTGCTTCAAGCCGGTTATGGAAATGCAGATCATGCCAGCCTGGCCCCCTTCCCTAGGGACAGGCCTAAGCCAAAGGGTCTTGCACTTTCAAACATCCCCATAACCACCAAGGTATGCTATAAAAGGTGTGTTATAAAAATAACACAGTTCCAGACAGACGGTGCTTGCTTTACTTTGAGCAGTATGATTATAAATAAATAAATAAATAAAAGATTCACACGCACATTAAGACTTTGGGCAATGGGCACTACTTGGGTCATAGAGGAGACTCTGGGGAGTGCCTGCTTCACATGGGCTAGAAAAAAGTTGTAGGGGGAAATAGTGATTTTTGCCCTTTCTAGTGAAAGGCTGTAGGTTTTGCATTGAGATGGGGCAGGGGAGAAGAACATTTAAACATCTCCAAGGATGCTTGTAAGGGAATAGGCCCAGTATTTTGTCTGCCATTTTGATATAATTTATGTGGTGCTATCCTAAGTATGGAAGGCACACACCATCCAAATGGGAAGCAGAGTAAGCTGGGCCTGATCCTACGTACAGGTCACCAGGAATTGCAGATGAACCAACGGCACACGATGCTTATGCAGCGACACGCACAGGCACAGCTGCTTGGCCACCACAGATACGTTTGCTACTGTGAAATACAGCAGTGCCACATGAATAATGCATTTCTTATCATGTAAAATGTAAAGAATAGGCATTTTCTTTACTTCTTTTCACTTTACTGGGCATAGCATGATGCTTCTCCTGTCATAGTACACTTAAGGTGAGTTCCTCATTGGTGGCAAGCTCTTTTTTTTTAATTGCTACTTTTAAATTCTAGTGAAACAACGAGTAAACAAATAAAAAATTCATTAGAGAGAGGCAGCTCAACTTAGATGAAAGTTTTACAGCATGCAGCTCTGCTTTCAAAAGCAGAAAATCCAGTCACCGGGTCATTAGCACAGCATGTAGCACCGCAGAAATGAGGAACATTAAAACTTGTGTCGTTTGCAAGATTTACTAATATTTCAGTGTCTTAACAACAACGTTTCAGCCTAAAAGCTTCCCAAAAGGCTTTTAAACATTTAAAATGCCAGATCCAAATGGCTACGGGTGCATTTACTCATTATGCACATACTTACAACAATGCATTTGGGCTGGATTGCGACAACTTTGGGGCTACTGTGGGAAGGCAGAGGGAGGGCACACGGAAAATTCGCTCCTTATTTCGCCCCTCTGCAAGGCCGGCCCGAGTGCGGCTGCGCCTGAGCGTGTGCGGAACGACTGCGGCTCCGCGAGGAGCGCTCCTGGGAGCACTTGCGGGCGCAGATTACGTTTAGTGTTTGGCTGGGAAGGTGCCCCCGAAGAAGCTAATGGTGATTATGATCCTGGCTTGATAGCTTTGCTGCTTTGAGCACGTCGGGTTAATTTCATGCTGAATAAGGAGAAAACGTGTGCCTGTTGCAGTGCTATCTATCAGTCAAGAGCTAGCATCAGAGGCCTTAAAACCAGGCGCTGGCTTAGTTTGCGACATATCTGGGCTGCAGGAAGTGGAAGGGCTGTGTTGCTTTTCGCAGCACAGATGATCCTGCCTGGAGAGGAAGGTAGCTGTGGGAGGGACAGCCCCTTGGAAGGGGTTTTTATCCTGCTCGTCAGCACTGTCTGCAGCAAGCAGGGCTCCAACAAGGGTGTTGGGGCTACCCCTCCGTACATATATCCCTATTCCTCTGCATATACCTCCCTTCTCTGTGTCATTTCTTCAAAGACAGCTATGGTGCTTATGAACAACTAACCTGAAGGGCTTCTTCCCCTTAAAGCCAGGTTAAGATACGAGGGAACAGGAATCTTTGGGAGAACTTGGCTAATTTGGTTGGGAAGGATTTTCTTCAGCTTCCATCTCTGTCGTATTCTTTAAATCTTTTTTCTCTGTTTGATCTTCTCAAGCTCCTCTCATTTAATATTGGGAATTGTAAAAGAGAGCCTTTAAAAGAACAACAACAGTAAAACCCCCACTGAGTTACTTAAGTGAACTGCTGCCTCCTGGACCAAACATAAAATAAGGTCTCAGAAAACATTAATGAGCTGCACTGCATGAATGCAATTACTTCTGGAAACACTGCAATCACAACTACTAACTTTTAGTCCTAATCTTTAAAACTTGAGTAATATTGCCAGAAAAACCCCATTCTGTTACAGGCAACACCACCTG